ACAAGGTACACAGTGCATTCTGTGACTTAAGGAGGCCAGTGTGTTCACCTGAAGGAGAAATCTCTGTGGTGTACCAGCCAAAGCCTTTCTCATTTGTATTTCAAGGAGAACATCAGCACAGCAGATACTACGCTTTAGTAATTGGTAAAAAGCCATCTTGGATGGAGGCAAGACACAAATGAATGAACCCCTATAAGTTTTCCTACTAACTGCCACCCCATCACCTCTGATTTCCTAAACCAGTGGTTCTTAAACTCAAGTTAGAGTCAGAGTCCCCCCACAGGAATCTGACTCTGTCAAATGTAGATTGCTGTGCACTAACCTCACAGTTTTTGCCCATCCTTCTCCCATGCAGCAGCTGGTGGCCTCATACAGGATTTCAGCACAGCTTCTTGCAACTACGTCACCAGAGCTCCTCATAATTTCTGGTACATGTTTCTTGGGGCCTAAAATCTTGCATTTCTAATGAGTTTTCAGGTGAGGCTAATATGAGCTCCGCATCTGAGAACCACACGACTTTCAGGTGAGATTCCATCCTACAACTTTCAAAAGCCTTTCAACAAAACCTTCACTTTTAAACACTATCGAGTTGTAACTGTGGAACAATGGAGCTGTACTTAGCAAAGGATTTGAAAATCAGCTTCTGACCAAGAATTAATGTCTTCTAAATAAATTAATTTTAAAAAATATATAACTTTTGGTCTTATGAACCCAGTGTGGCAAAATGGACCTGATCGGGTCTACAAATTAAGGGACCAGTCCTTCAGGGTTAACAGCTGTTTATGATAAACTCATATGCTGTGAGAGTATATGATCAATTTGGTTTATGATCAAAATTTCATATACTATTTGAAGATAAACTTGCCATTAAGTCGATTCCGACTCATATCAACCATCCATCAAGGTTTGAAGGCTAGCAAAAACCTGGGCCACTGGCCGATTCAGATGGCCAGAGCCACGAGGCCTTTTTGTTAGCTGGTGGCATGCTACTATGTATGAGACAAAGCCTTGGTTAACCATTGATGTGGCTCAGAATAAAGAGGCCTGGTGGCACAATGGTTAACACCCTCAGCTGCTAACCAACAGGCTGGTGGTTCAAACCTGCCAGCTGCTTCAAGGGAGAAAGGTTGGCGTCTCCTCCTGTAAAGACCTTACAGTTTGGGAAATCAGTGAGACAGTTCTACTCTGTCTATAGGCTCAAGCCAGAAAAGACTTGGTCACAGTGTACTCGGTATGGGATTAGATGTTACAGGGAGGTCTAAATATTGAGCTCCTGGGAGCACAGACACTCCTTCATCCTCAAGGAGCAACCACACATCTATCTGAATTGCTTGGCAACAAACACATATTCTGTAAGTTCTCAAAAAATAGTGAGGCCTTGTTGCTCAACGTACGCCTTGTGGACCAGCCCAGTCAGTACCACATAGGAGATAGTAAAAATGCCAATCTCCAGGCCCACCTCTCACCTACAAAGTGCTTATTGGCATCACATAGTGGGCAGTGAAAAAGCCAAATCCAGAGGTCAGCTATGTCCACAGATGATGCCCAGGCATGAGTGGACTGAAGGATGTCCCAACAGAGAAGTTCTAGTGTGTTGCCCTAAAAGCCAAAGATCTAGACACCCTCCCCCTCATGGAAGGAAAAAAAAAATCAGTCACTATTCCATAAAGGAATTAAATGCTAAACCAAGAAGAAACAAAGGTTATGGGGCTCTCTCATCTGGCCGGTGTACTTTCCTTTGACATTTTAGTAAACATCTCGCATTTATAAGTTTTCACAAAATACAGCGCACGCATGAATCACTGACGATTCCCAGCTATTATGTACAGTTCCCAGCTATCGCTTCTTCTCCCCTCCTCCCGCCCTTTTCTTGTTGTGTATCATCGAATGGGATCAGACTGGCACAGGAGGAGACTGTCTCTCCTTCTCCAGTGGAGCATCTGGTGGATTTGGACCGCACGCCTTCGGGATTGCAGCGCACAGCTATTGCTTCTTACTGTTAAACTTGAAGTAACAGAAGCATCACTAACTGCAGTATTCATTCCAACAACTGGATCTTGGCATGTCAATGTGTCAAGTCAATTCCAACCCGTGGTGACCCTATGCGTGCAATGTAGAACTGCTCATAGGCTGTGAGCTTTTGAAAGCAGATCACTAGAACTGTAGTGAGGCACCCCTGGGTGGATGAAAGGCAAAGCCTTTCAGGATGAGGGGATGATGTTGTTGTGGATGTTGTTACATGCCATCGAGTCGCCTATGACTCATAGCGACCCTATGTACAGCAGCTCTGAAGCCTGTCCTGCCAATCCAGTTGTGGAATAAGTCATCTATTTTAATAATCATAATGTGGAAAAGGGGGCTCTGGTGGCTTAGTGGTATGGAGTTGCGCTGCCAGCACAAAGGCAGGCAGTTCAAATCTACCAGCTGCTCCGTGGGAGAAAGATGACCAGTCTTGTCCTGTGTGATTGATCTGTTGTTGTTGTTTACTGTCTTCAAGGCAAGCATAGCAACCCTATGAACAAAAGCCCTGAAGCCCTTTTTTTAGTGATTTACTGCCTCTTAAAAACTGCTGGAGGGTCAGCTGTGGGTTGATTCTGACTCAACAAACTATACACAACAACAATATAGAAGTCTTTCAAGATCGCTTAATAAGGATAAAAAGCTCAGTTCCTTTCAAGTCCCACATAAAAATCCTGGAGTGTTGATGACACATACATCCACGTAAGCCAGCCAGCCCCAAATGCTGTGCCATTATCTACATTTTCTTGAGTAAGGTGTTATGTGTCGTTGAGTCGGACCCGACCCATAGCTAACCCTCCAGTGGGTTTTCAGAAGCAGTTAACTGCACAGGAGAAGACTGCTCATCTTTCTGCAGAACAGCTGGTGGATTTGACATGTATGCCTTTGGTACTGCAGCGCAGTTTCTTACCACTAGGCCACCAGAACTCCCTAAATTTTCTTAAGAGTAACAAACATATTTTCAACTCAATTTTCAACTCAAGCTCAATGTCATTAGTCTAGAAAATGCTTCTTTCCATCACATCTTTAAGGCACACTTATCTAAGTATGGCAGAATTCTAAAATCAGACTGTCAAAAAAAAAAAAAATCAGACTGTCAAAACAGAACCATATTAAGTTTCATAATCTTGTTCTGGGGCACACATGATATTCTACCCTTAGAGAGACTAATTATCTAGCAAGAAAGACTTGGTCTGAAACATGGACTCTTGCGAGTTTATTACCAGTCAGAATGTTAATCCAAAAAAGAGCGGGGAAGTTTGAAATCACATAGGCTTATACAAAGCAATTAAAACCAGTTTCCCTTCATTTGATATATTTTTTCCCTCTGTGCAGAATCCACCTTTCAGCATTTTAGGTAATGCATTTAAGTTTCTCAAACACTACTCAAGCCCTCTCAATTTTAAGAGAAATTACATTTGGGAGAGCGAATCTGAATGTAGAACTAAAATAGAATTTCAAAAGCTTTCCAGAAGAATTAAAATATTCTTTAAATATTGCTTTTAAATATTGCTTTAAAATAAGCAATTCTGTTATACCAAAACAGACAGCAACTGAGTGAAGAAAAAAAAAAAACCCAATCCATTTCTTTGAAAACTTTCATTCAATCCACAATTGAAAGAAAACACAGCCAAACACACAATTAACCAGGAAACATTATATATCTATGAAAACTTTTTTTACCCTTCTCCGAAAATAGAAAGGTCCAGTTTTTGGTTTCAAGGTTGAAAATGACTATCACTTTGACAGGATTTGTAGGAAAGAGCAAGAACACTGGTGCACAAACAAGGTTTGGCCTCCAAACATTAACCAATCAGAAGCCAGAGACAATAAGGACACATTAAAAGTCCACAAACAGAGTAAGGGAACAGAATTCACCTAGACAAATAGCTCACCCTCCCCATTAACAGTCCCAAATACTTTAACTCGCTTCAGCCTATTTTCTAAATTTTTTTTAGCCCAAATACATTTTAGAGACTTGGAAAAGAATTCTTGCCAACCTCTTCAAAAAAACAGTGAGTAACCAATGAGATATTGAAGCAATACCATAAATAACTCTCATTGTTGAGTTGGCGCAAACTCAGCTGACCCCTCCAGCAGGAGACCACTCATGTTTCTATTATTATTGTGTACCATCATATCGGATCTGACTGGTACAGGAGGAGATTGTCCCTCCTTTCCCGGCAGAGCATCTGGTGGATTCGAACCGTGCGCCTCTGGGATTGCAGTGCAGCTTCTTGCCACTAGGCCACCAGAGCTCCCCTGAGACCACTCATCTTTCTCCCTCAGAGCCACTGGTGGTTTTGAACTTCCAGAATCCACACGGCAATGCAATTCCCTACAGAGTCACCAAACTCCTTAACATTATTCACTTTTCCTTCTAGGAAACGAGCTGATGTATAAGCACATGGTTTGAAAATCACCTCAAGTTGGTTGCTAGGGGAAATATGAGTGAAATCTTGAAGTCTTACGAGTCCATATTTAATGTGCAACAAGAAGTTAAAAAAAAAAAAGACAATTTTTAAAAATCAGGTTTACCTCACCAAGCACACTGAAGAGCATTCCTTTGAGAAGTTCAATTCTCAAGGAAGATCAATACAGAGGATGTGATTTGTGGAGGCGCCCAGAGCTGGAATTTTCACCATACAGGATGTGAATTAATAGCACACATAACACAGATGTATCACAGAACTCAAAGGCAATCAATACTGAACCACGAATTCACATGGGATCTGAGTTTATCATATACTGTCTTCACCTGGCAGCTAAATCTTTAAACTCTCAGGATTTACAATTCCCCCCAAAAAGTTCAAAGCGCTTGTTTTACCAAATCTAGTTAATATTTAGACCACATAGTGAGTCAGAATGAGCTAACACTTGAGATAATCCTAATGGACCGTCTACACAATGTTACCGTCTACACAATGTTACCAACTTTTCCATCTCTAAAGAAACACTATTTCATTAGTATCCAAGCCTACTTTTGTGTAGCGGTGAGGCAATCTGGAGGTCTGCAACTTCTTCAGGTCAAGGAAGGCGTCTCCATTTTCTGTTTCACCCACACTTCTCCTATCCATGGCTCCTAGGTCAACAATTCTTTGCACCTGGAAAATCAGGAGAAATCATCACTGTGAAAAGTCTTCCCAAGTTTTCGGCGTTTTTCCATCGCTTTAAAAGGTAAGTTAAAAAAAACCAAACGCTACTTTTTAAAGAAAGAAAGAAATCTGCACCCTCGGAGCATGCTAAAGCAAAACCCATTGGGAAATCGAATCTTTGGTATTAGAGACCTCTCCGTAAAAAGCATCAAGGGGGTAAGGAAGCCCCAGGCGGAGGATGCCCAACCCGGGGTCTTTAAGCAGTTTTAATACAAAAAGAAACCATTATTGGTCGCTGCCACCCATGGGGACCGTTCGGACCGCGGTAGGGGAAGTTCCCCAGAGGGGGCAGGTGTGAGATTGCTTGGGGATCCGGGAACTCGGCTGCTGGAAAGTGCCTGTCACTTGCCAAGGGACGGCGCCAGCTGCCCCTTATGAGCCGGGGGCCGGGGATTGGGGGCAGGCCCCGAGCGCCCCACGCCGGGCCAGCCGCACCTGTGGCCATGTCAGGGCAGCCACGACAAGGACGGGGGAAGCATCAGCTCCCAGACCCGGCTTCCTGAGCCCCAGGCCCCCCAAGCCCTGGTCCGCAGCTCGGGCCTGGCCGGGCAGCCTCCTCCGGAGGGAACACGGGACAGTACTCACGGAGGAGAGGCAGGCTGGAGGGAGCGGGGAGACCGGGTCCTCCGGCCTGCTAGCTCCGAGGCAGAGTGCGCGCAGGCCCGC